GTTGTGGCTCAGCGGTAGAGCACTTGCCTAGCACATGTGAGGCCCTGGGTTCAATCCTCAGCACCACATAATAATAAGTATTAATAATAAAGATATTGTGTCCAACTACAAAAAAAAGTGCACATACGTATCTATTTTTTTTTTCTTAAACATTTTGTGAAAATTTTCAAATACAAGGAAAATTGAAAACATTGTACAGTGCTCACCCCCGTACCTGCCACCTATATTCTAAAATTTGTTGACAAGTTTGTACTTTATCATATCATTTCATCTATTCATGCTTAAGATCATCTTATTTTTATATTTTAATTAATTAATTTATTTTGCAGTACTGAAGCTTTAATCCAGGGGTGATCACGTACCACTGAGCTATATCCACAGCTCTTTTTATTTTTTTTTCTTTTTGAGACAGGATCTCACTAAGTTGTCCAGATTGACCTTGAATTTGTGTTCCTCGTATCTCAGCTTTTGGAGTCCCTGGGATTATAGGCATATGCCACTATGCGCAGCTTTATTTTTTAAAATATATATTTCAAAGTGTCATAGACATCAGTGATTTTCATGCCTAAGCATGTCAGCATGCATAACATTAATTAAAGCTCAATATTTCCATATAGTGTAATATTCAAAACTTAATCTTACAAAGCTTGACATGATAGTGCATGCCAGTAGTTCCAGCCACTTGGAAGCCTGAGGCAAGAGAATTTTTTGACTTGAGCCTTGGAGTTGATGCCAGCCTAGGCAGTGTGGTGAGATCCTGGACCTTAAGAAAAGGAAAATCTTGAGCATATTATTCAATGAATTTTGAAAAATATGTACACCCCTGTGACTCAGACACCTAATATTTCTATAATTTGAGAAGGTTCCTCACACAATAATAAAGGATAATCTTAAACCTGTTTTTTTTYCCTAGACCACTAGTTAACAGAAAGTGAAATATCCCTAAGTCAAATAATAAGTGTAAATTGATTTAAAAACTTCTTTTGTTTTTGGTTGTTTTGTTTTTAAACTCATACATTAAGGCCCACTGTCTTCAGTCAGATACTTATAAAAAAAATACTAGAAATACCACACTTTCCACCATTTTTGTGCTTATTTTTTTTTGCCTGCCCCATCTGAAACGTGTTCTTATTATGTGTCAGCATTCTGTGCAAAACATCCATTTATTCCACTAGCATTTGATTACTCCTGTATGCTGGGAATTATTCTGTGGATCACTTGGTGAAAAATGAAAGGGACCTTATTGTCCCTCCAGGAGTTCGTATCATGTAGTGAAGGAGTCACATCACTGAAGAGATACTTAACATTTAAAATGATGAGTGCTGTGTTGAAGGCGTATACAGAATACTTATTGGACACCAGCATGAGGGATGAAGGGAAAATTTCCCAGACCAAAATACTCCCTGTCTTTTTCTGCATGAGAGAAAAACATTTTGTTAACATTGGTCTGACAGGTTACTGTTCTCCTTCCTCCTGCCTAAGAGAGCAGAACAAGTAGTCATTTGAAAGGATTTTCAGTTTCCTTATTGACAGTTTTATCTTCCATTTTTATTCACTTAAATTTTTAACAGTAAGATAGAGCAATCCAGACAAATGTGTCATGTGGTARTTGTGTAGCCCTAGGGAATTAGTTATTCTTTTGGCTTTAAAGTACTTAGAAAATTGAAAGACTATTTTTAATATACTAAGATTTGGATAGTTTAGCCCAGTGTATGGAATATACTATTGTAGTGAAGATGTGCAAGATTACAGTAATAAAAGACAAAATGTAACTTTTGCAAATTCAAATTATAGATTTATCTGTAAATAACATGCTTTACCCATTATGTGTTTGTCATTGTGCTAATTGCAAAAGATAAATAAAAACTAGTGCTAGGCCTTAAACTAGTGGTTCTTTACATTTTTAGAGGTCAAAGATCCCTTGAGAATCTGGAAAATTGAGAATTCCTGCCTCCCTTAGGAAATACACATCCACATAAAATTTTGTATGAAAGTTTAGGGAGTAATCTCATTGTCTTTTTAACCCTTGGAGCTTCAATTAAAAATTCATGTCTTAGGAATTAAGATCACCATATAAGTTAGTTAATTATAAATAGTGATATGAATGTACCTTTATATAATGGGAAATTGTGGAAATCAAATGCTAAATTTATAAGAAGAAAAAAACCCAAATGTTTTCTGTTGATAAGACAGCATTTTCCAATTCTGTAATTTGATTTTTCTGGCACCCTATGAGGCAGTAGGCCTCTAATTTTACTTTGTTGCAGAAGATTAAATTTAAGGTTGAGTTCCACTTTGTTTGTAATAACTTGAAAAAGAATAGTTAATGCAGATTTTTTTTTTAATTTCTTTCCTTTTAAGCTTTGTGTCTTGTAAAATGTGAGTTTGCCAAATTTTCTTCATCTGCTACAGATTAGGTATGCCATTGTTGCTGCCATGTGGCGGCGCACCCCGTGCTTCTTAAACGCACTGACTGGAGGTTTATCGCATCACTTGTTCACATGCACGGAGCCTGGTAACAGCCTCATCTGTATCTTGTTAGCTTCATTTTCTTATTTTTTAAATTTCATTATTTATAAACTCAACATAGCGTTTAAAAATAAAGGCTAGTGTTAATGAATTAATGCTACTACAAAAAGTCATTGCTAAAATTTTCATACTGAAACAGAATTTAACTTTTGTTAAAGTGATCTATGTTTTAATTAATTTGTATTTACTTTACAAGCAGGCATGTTTTTACCTGCCATTTTAATTGTATTCGCCAAATTCTAAATATAATTTTGAAAATTGAAATTGAAGCTTTTATTTATGTGGCAAAAGTAAGTGGCAGGACTGGGCTGTGTATTTTTATTGGCATGTAACAGTTGATATGAGCTCTACAAGAATTAGTCTTTAAAGAGCTAAAGCAATCAACAGCTGCAGTTTAAAAAAATTACATATGAAAACTGTTGGCTCAGTTGCGCAACTTGGTAAATATTGTATCCTGACTTTCTTTGAAGGTTTATGGTTGGTTATCTCTTGAATCATTGTATTTAGGCTCTTATTTATTTATACTTTTGTTTGGAAAATTCATCTTACCATTTTTAAAAATAACACTTCCCTTTAAAAAGTAAAGTTTATTATAAAGAATTTAAAAATAAAAGGAGAAACGTCACTTGTCTATCACCTGTAATAAAAGCAGCTAAAACATTTTGTTTTGGCTTGTTTCTATTCATCTTTTTTTCCTGTGTTATTTTTAGAAATGAGAATTTTTCATGGCTCTATTTATTTACATTGCTGCAAGTATTTTTATCATGGTGGTGGTTTTCACCTTCTTATTCATGATTCCTAGAAAAGAAATTTTAAAACAAGTTTTGATTTCCCCTTCTGCAGTTTAGTAAAGTGATTTAGTTAACACTAAAACCTTTTGTGGAATATTTGGAGAATTCAAGAWTATAATATTTGCAGTTAAATTGCAGTGATGATTCTCACCAACATTTTATAATCTTATGTTTATTATAACAGTATATATTCAGCTTTGATAACTGGAAGATACTTTGATCATTCTCCCTTATTATTCTAGAATTGGCTTTTTGTTTTGGTTATGCTGGGAATTGAACCCAGGGCCTTATACATGTTAGGCAAGCACTCTATTATTGAGTGACATTCGCCAGACCCATTATTTATACAAATTTAAAATTATGTTAAATACAGTTATATTTACAAAAGGCATTTGTTTTTATGTGAAATCTTACATTTGCTCTGGCCTTTTTTCTTTTTTTTTTGTCATATAATTCTGTTTTTCTGTTTGAATATGATCAACATACTTCTTTATAAAGTTAGTATATCAGCACAGTTCAAAAACACTTTTATTTGGGAAATATCAGTGCTTATAATTCAGGAATCTGTTTTATACCTTCTCAAAGTTTAAAAGAGAGGATAACTATGCAGTTGTTATACATTTTCTCAATATAAGTAGCTTAGAAATTGTTCTTACAGCCATCTCTGTTCATGTGTCCATTTTAACTCCAAGCTCCTCTAAACTTTCAAGTTTGTGATCCCTGGCGTAGATAGTGACTTATATTATTTTTTTTAAAAACCTCTCTCTGGTGTAGACAGTGACTCACATTAATTTTTTTTTAAAACCTTTTTCTTTTTTTCCCCCTTTTATCTGTACAGAAACTGTATCTTATTGATCCAAACCCTCCATAATAAGTATTCAAAATTTAAAAGCTCTTAAGTAGGAGTATTTCACTTGTACAGGAAGAACAGGATTATCTTTGGAGTATTATAATGAAAAACTATAACTTATATAGGTATAAGATAATTTAGAATAGGAATCTTAATTTAGCTTACAGATTTCTTAAATTTTATAAGGGTCTAAAAGAAACTGTATCTTTGCTCTTTTTAAAAGAGCAGTGCTGCTCTTTAATGCTACTCAGATATGAAAACTTTAGTCATATAGCAATTCTAGGTAAATATGAGAGTATGATAGCAGTCAACTTCATTAAATCAGTGATGTTAAATTAGTTAATCAAATGTTATATATTATAAAGTGAATGTAAAAGTTAATATTAATTCAGGTCTTTTTAAAGTTTGTATTTGATTTTCATATGGAGATAAGCTTGCCAGTTTACTGTTGAAATATAGATTAAGTTTTTGTTAAAATGGCATTGGTTATTAAGTTATTTCTGATTAAACTTGAATGTTTAGTTACTGATGCCCCCATGTGGTGAAAAATATACCGTTTTTGTTAGAATTTAGAGAATGTATTTTCATTTTTCTTTAATAGAGTGGACCTTTGTGTTCACAAGAAGCTGTTGATTAAGAGATATAATTTGAATTTTGTAAAGCTCATTGCCATAAAATTCACAGCCTTACCCTGTATTGTCTCAGAAGTGCAAGTAACCAAGCACATACAATGAGACAAAATATTGGAAGCTATTTAATTACAAATAGCATAGGGATTTTCTGATTTTGTATGTGATTTCTTAATGTCTTCGTTTTTGTGTCTCATATAGGTGATGTACAGTTCATTGATTATGAATATTCTGGATACAACTACCTGGCATATGATATTGGAAATCATTTCAATGAATTCGCAGGTAAAAACCAAGGTTTAACTAATTTAAAACCAAGAAGTAACATGTTTACCTCTAAAATGGTAGTTTCACAATTTTCTTTTGCTTTTTTAAATGTGGATCAGCTGGGAATAGGAGCACTGTTTTTCTTCCTCTTGCTGACCCTTTTTCTTTGTTTTTCTTGGTTATTGGAGGAAAGAGATTATCAGATTTTCTTCCTTAATTGCCATCAGAAAATAATGTACAGGAGGAAAATAATAATTGTGGTATCTGTTATGATATTATAAGGTACAAGATGCTTCATAAATCTCATTTCATTTTTTTTTCTCCCCAATATTCCTCCTATAAGGCAGTATTCCCTGTTTACATTTAGGATATATAATTCATCAAGGTCGTGGTAGAATATTGAGAACTGAAATTTGAATTTAGTATTGTTTATCATTTAAAAGACTTCCTGGGGTTGAGAGTATAGGTCAGTGGTTGAGCTATATGGGAGTATGTGGGAGGCTAGCCTAATATGTGGGAGGCTTGGGTTTTGATCCCTAGCAGCAAAAAAAACCACACACACACACACACACACATACACACACACACACCCCCATTGTAAACTTGGGCTTTTGAAATGTTTTTAATTGAAAAGCTCAAGAATTTTCTTTTCTTAACTTGGTTACGGCTGTTTGAAGAATTGTTCATTTGTATTCCTGAACACTCAATCTGTAATCAAATATAAAAGCTTACCTTTTTTTTCAATGTAATGGATTTAATTTAAAATTCATTTCCTGACTGTATTTAGAAATATGAAATGACCTGAAAGTAAAGAATTAGGAAATTTCCTTAGATGGTTTACATGTACTAGAAATATTTCATTATTGAATTGTATTTGTGTACTTTAGTGTATCCATGTGTTTTTATATACTGTTGGTTTCCAGACTGGGAAATAAGTTGTGAAAAAGTTCTTTTACACATTTTCAGTTATTTTTCTCCACCAAGCTTATCATATACATGCTAGAGCCTCACCTATATATATACACATATTTTCATATGTACTTATAGGAGGGGAAATCAACTGCATACAATGAGATATCACCCTGTTAGTAACACATATAGTCATGCTGTGGATATGAAAGAAAATCACAGTGATCTTAGAACAATTTTGTGGAAAATATAATTGAGTTAAACTTGAAAGTTAAGTAGAAGTTGGATATACAAATTGAAGATAAGGGAAGGCATTTCAGGAAAGTGTTTATTATTTAAATAAGTATTTATTTAGTGTCTAGTGTTATAAACAGAAATGAAAACATTTTATGAAAAAAATATTGATTGTAATGATTATTAAGGTATGTGGGAAAGTGTCTGTTTTTAAAATAACTTCAGTGTATTTTTTTCCCTAAAGGTGTAAGTGACGTAGACTATAGTCTCTATCCAGATAGAGAACTACAGGGCCAGTGGCTACGTTCTTACCTTGAAGCCTACAAGGAATATAAAGGGTTTGGGACTGAAGTTACTGAAAAGGAGGTAGAAATACTCTTCATTCAAGTCAATCAGTTTGCATTGGTAAGTTTATTAAATATAAACAATAAATGAAAGATTCTTAATATAATCATCTTATAAAACAATTTATTTTCAATGTTGTGAATTTTTGTTCAACATAATGAAAAAACTTGACTGTTTACAGTTTACATTACCCAAATTGCTTTCTTTTGAGGACAAACTTTTCATTTCCTTCACTGCTGTATCTACAGCCCATAGATCAGTGTTTGGAAATATAACAAGTGCTCAGCAATTATTTGCTCAGGGAATGGATTCTTTTTCTTTGTTATAAAAAAGCTTTTAATCGAAGGAAGATTTATGGGAGATGAGATTTTCCACAATATATTTAATCCTCACATCTCAATCTTATCACAATAAAAGTAGATTGGTAGAACCAGTTGTTTTTGTGATTTAATCCAGTATATTATCTTTTTGACCTTTTATTCATAGGCAGTTATTTCTTTTTACTTAATTCTTTTTAGTTATATATGATAGTAGTCAATTTTGACATATTTATACAACCCAGAGTGTATCTATTCTAATTAGGATCCCATCCTGTAGCTGTTCAGATGTGGAGATTCACTCTGGTATATTATTTATATATGTACATAGGAAAGTTATATTTGATTCATTCTACTATCTTTTCCTATTTCTATCCTCTCTCCCAGTGGCACCCTCCCTTCTCTTTTTCTAATCCACTGAACAACCCCTTGTTGTGTGTTAACATCCACATACTCTAGAGTTCAGAACATTGGACCTTTGTTTTTTTGGGATTAGCTTATTTCACTTAGCATGATTGTTCTGGCAAATGTCATAAAGTCATTCTTCTTTATGGTTGACTAATATTCTATTGTGTATATATACCACATTTTCTTTATCCATTCATCCGTTGAGGGCACCTTCGTTCCATTGTTTGGCTGTTGTGAATTGAGCTCAAATAAACATTAATGTATGCTGTTTTCTGCCTCTCCTTTTATCCATTTAGAGTCTAATCTTACATATAAATTTTGCATTTTCACTCTATAAAAAATGCTGCCTATCAACATTAGATTTTTTGAGGTTTTATGTATAGTGCTTCTTTAGTGTAGAATCATTGATACATCTCACTATATGAATAAAAAATAAAAAGTGTTTGAGAAATTCAGTTACCTGCTAGTCTTGAAATGGTGAGACGTGCTAGGTTGATGTTATTTTTAGGCTTAGAATGACCTCTTAATTTCTAAGTCTTTTCCACTACAGAACAAACTTAGAAGAGATTAGATAYCATCTGCAGATAATTTTGTATGACTTAAAAATACTCCAATGCAATTTAGACTAGTAGTTCTCAAGTTTTTTGGTCTTAGAACCTTTTTACTCTTTAAAGAAATTTTGAACACCCCTATGAACTTTTCTTTATGTAAGCTAATTATCATATTTATCATATTAGAATTCAAAACAAAATTTAAAGTGTTTATTAAAATTTAAAAGTAAAAACTCATTAAAATAAATACCATTTATAAAAAATAACTTTTCCAAAGCAAAAACAAAGTTTTCTTTTAGTTAGAAGAGTTAGCATTATTTTACATTTTTGTAAATTTCTTTTCTCAATTGATAGAAGACAGCTAGATTCTCACGTTTCTGCATTCTGTGTTGTGATATATTATTGCAGTTGAAGTACATGAAGAAAATAGTTTTACACATATTATGTAAAATGGAAAAAAAGAGTGTTTTACCTTTTCAGATAATTGTATGTGTTCTTTATTGATATTATATAAAGACTCAACAGTTTCTTTTAAGATTAATAGCAACTTGTAAACTATGTGCATATCAATTTACTTTTTTAAAAAATGTGACCTTAAAATTCATTGGTTTATTTGTACAATCTTTTGCCAGTATGTGATTTTGTAATTTTAACATCATTAGTTACTTAGAAAATATGGATTCATTGAATTATATGGACTACCAACTGTTGGTGAATCTCATGATATAAAAAAATCGTACTTTGATAAAAATAACTGTTTTCAGGAAAATTGATAGTACTGTTTTGAAGCTGTTTTCAGAATCAAATAAGTTTTTTCTCAAGTTCTAATTTCAAGGTGAAAGCTGAAGTTTTTCCATTAGCAACAAATACTATCATTTATTTTCTTTCTAATGACAAGTTCTTTTTTTGTACTTAAGAAAATGGGGCTGGGAATGTAGCTCAGTTGATAGAGTGCTTGACTTGCATGCAAACCCTAGCAAAACACACACACACACACACACACACACACACACACACACAATGTCAGTCATTTTCCCCCCCAAGTAAAAATGGTGTTCTGGTAAAAAGGTGCAAATTCAACTCCTAGCTTAGATACATAAGTACTTTTCTTGAAACAATCATTTTACTGTGGTATATAGAGCCTATGCTTGTATATTTCTTATTTCACCCCACAAAATAATAGAACATACACTCTGAGGTAGAGATTTGATGAAATTACTGGTTTCAGTGGCTTCATATTAGATATCATTGGATATACTAAAGAGTGAGATTAGATTTTTATTGTGTGTGGTGATAATGAGTGAGACCTGTAATAGTASTATTTGCTGCTATTGTCTTCACTTATATTATGATACCAGCAATTTTACCTATCATCTATTTTCCTTGTTTACCCCCACTGATACTTTTGAATATTAAGTGCAGATGTTAAGGTAGTGAAAAAGGTAAGTAACATATTATTAAGGAATTAGTTTTGGTCCTCAGAAGCCTTCTATGGGTTCATGCACTAGTTGCTCAATTTATATTTTGTATGTGTCATTTGTTGTTCATTTTCTTTATATATTTCATTTGTGTCAATCCCTATGGGACTCTGGGTTTGAGAATCACTGATTGAGATATTTAAAAGAATATCATCTAATTATTTAATTCTCAGTATCTGAGATACTTCCTTAGGTAGAAACTGGAAGTTTATTTTTGAAAATCTTCATCATTTTTATCATTCTGATTTTGTGTAATAACAATAGCTGAAATTCTCTTGAATGTTTGTTACATGCCAGGTAGAGACACTATTATACCTGTGTTTTACAGGTGAGGATACAAAGGCAAAGAATTGTTAATTAGGTTGCTCAAAGCCACACTTCAAAGCATAGCTTTTCAAAAAATTTTGTTTCATGTTTGTGTGACTTTAGCTACTTGGAGTTGTTACATTGTTTGTTCTTTTTCTACTTGTATTTGTGGTAGGAAGTTATCCTGTTAATGATATTTTTTTGAGGAAGGCAAGAGTAAATAGAGGACTTTAGCTTGAAAACTTTTTAAAAACAGATACTCTTTCCATTTATCTTTAAAATAATTCTGTATGGAATACTGAATGGCTGATATTATGAACATCATAAAATGATAGTTCTGACGTTAAAAATTTGTGACTTCTTAAAGGTTACCAAGGGAATTAGTAATAGAACTAGGACTTGCACCTGTGCACCTTATAAATTAAATAATTCTTTCTGGTACACTGTGTTGCTTCACATACCAAATCAGATTTTTTTTAAATAACAAAATTCACAGCTATTAAGTAATATTTTCTTAGAGGCCTTTTGTTGCTTTTGCTATAGTGAATTTAACTGAAATAAAAACCTTATCTTTAAGAGTTTTTGTTAGAGTATTTCTAGTTACAATAAATTATTATGTCTGAGGAAGTAAAATCTTACCAGAATTTTAAAGTACCATTAGGTCTAATTGAAGATGGATTTCAGATATAGTTACTATTTACACTGTAGTTTCTCTTTAAGTCTGAACATAATTTTTTGCTGCCATAAAGTTTGTTACTTTGTGTTATGTTGGTTGTGCAGATTTGAGCCAATAAAGTTATTTTCAAATGTTTGTTGCTCCTAGAACAGTCTCACATTTTAAATATATTTGTTATTTCTGAGGTTTGCATTTTCATTTTTGTTTGTGTTTTTATGTCAAGAAGGAAAGATTCTTAATAATATGTGTTATAAGAAAGCCTGTTAGGAGTTAATAGCCATTAAAAACATTTAGACAACATCTGACAGTGCTGATACAAAGCAAGTTATAGGAATTGGGCTTTATTTTTTATTGGATTATAATTTATTGTAACCTCTTCTATTATAGACAAGTAAGTGATTTGCATCTATCCAGTAACTGTACTGTTCAGTATTTTCTCTGTTTTTTAAATAATATAAAAAGAGCAGTAAGAAAGAATTGGAGCCAGAGAAGGGTATAGTTCCGGGGAGACTCTAGATTAAATCCCAGCAAGAGAGAGGGAAAGAACCATGCATGTAATTGATGAAGAGAATGGAGTTAACATTTTTATATTAGTTTTAGAAAGAAACACGTTAATGTAATTCTTGATTTTTCTTTTCCCCTTTTAAGGCTTCTCATTTCTTTTGGGGATTGTGGGCTCTGATTCAAGCCAAATATTCTACTATTGAGTTTGATTTTCTTGGGTAAGTTCAGTTTTATTAAATGTATTGCATTTGTCTCTACTTTTCTTTGAATTAATATTTAGAACTCATAGGGAACATTATTATGTTATTATTTTCAGTCATTACAAAGGCTGCATGAATTTAATGATTTGGTCTGTAAAGAAATCTGGTAGAAGCTGTTAAGTGCTCTCAGTATTAGAAGTGTCCAGTAGGTGGTGCAGTAAACTCAAAATATGTCCTTTGAAACTCTTAAAACTTAAAAATCCAGCTTAGAAGAGTGGAAATTAAGACGGGAGGTGAGGGTTAAGTTTTTTAACTTTGACTGATTTTGTCATTTATTCTCTTTTCTCATTAGGTATGCAATTGTTCGTTTTAACCAGTACTTTAAAATGAAGCCTGAGGTTACTGCATTGAAAGTGCCTGAGTAAAGAAGAGATTTAATTATTCCCAAGTAGCTGAGCAATGCTTGTGAATTGTTTTCTTAAGAAATTCCAAAAAGCCAATATTTGTTAAAATTCTGTTACTTAATTTGGTTATCTTGCTTTACAAATTATGCCTCAAAACAACCAATCTATTTTTTAAATAGACTTGAGTGATGTCACAATGTATACCTACTGCTATCAGTATGTGGTGGATTAGATATTTGTTAAATCTGCAAAAGGTATAAAGATGTCAGTTTAAGCCTTTCTGTGATAATTTACTCTGTTACATGTGAATTATTTATTATGAATTTAACATGATCTGTGACTTCTTTCATCTGATTCATTTGTTTGTTGAGTGTATGCAATGAAAATGTTCCAGAGAAATTTAAGTTTTATCTTAGTAAGATTAATTTTACAAAAATGTTCTGGTTGTTCATTGTAACTTTTTTTTAATCTTGATTTTAAGTAAAATGAATTATTTACCCTTGAAATACCAGTCACTGATTGGTATAGATAATTTAGGGTATTCATATAAAAATATCTGCTTAGAAGGGAAGAATACATTTATGTCTCTGTTGGTGGTACATCTTCTTGAATTAAATATTGGTAAACATTTCCTTTTGGGGAACTACAACTTAGAACTAAATTCTCTTTATATTTGCCACATAACCCTGGAATAAGAATAATGATTTAATGTTACCAAAATCTGTAGTTAGTAATGTTTTCAAGTGCTAAATGTGGACATTGAAGTTACCAGTTCAGTTTTTAAAATTTCATGGTATCAAATTGTTTCTAATCCCAAATTTTGTTTTACTTAATTGAGATACTATATGTTTTAGTTTATTACCTAATAGCTTGTATTGTTAATTTTCAAACAGACACACAAAATTGTCATTCTTATAAAGAAGAAAATATCATTTAGATTGATTCTTTTTTAAAAAAAATCTGTTCAGATTCATTCCTTTTTTGGTTTCATGTTTTACTTTGGTTCTGTCTTTAGAGTGATAGCAAATAATTACTTGATACATTTAATTTCAGAGTAATATGTTGAGGCAGTGAATGAGTTAAATAAGGAACATTGAGGACATTGATCTTGTATACTTAAAAATCTGACAAGCAACAAAATGTGAATTTAGCAGAAATACTTATGGTAGGAGGGCTTCTGTTGTTTTTATGTATCTTGTTTTTGTTTAAGTATATATTTTGTTTAGGGGTGAGAGAGGCAGTTATATTATGGAAGAAAGTTAGATCTTTGGGATAGATAGGAAGGCTTCAAGTTTTAAAGACTGCTCTGTGGAGTTGAGCAGTCATGGTTAACTATACTTAGAAAAGTAGTCTGACAGGCTTCGCACTTTCGTCACGTAAGTGCTCATGTACAAAGTTGGCTTACTGGATCTGCATATTCAAAGATTTGTAAGATATGCAACTACAAATTTATCCTCTGAGAAATCTTCTGGGGAGTCTGATGTATTATTCCAAATGACTTATATTCTCAGACAAGTGCTTTAAAATTACTTGGATTATCTCAAGATAATAAAGTAAATAGAAACACTTACAGGCCATTTAAAATGGTACATTCTAGTTACATAAATAGACTCTTAAAATGTTTGTATCTGTAACAGTGTTAGACCAAAATTTGGTTTCTACCTCCCCAATGTTATAAATGTTCACTTTTGTTTTTATAAACCATATTACTGTAAGATCAATAAAATTTTGCCTAGTTGATTAAATGAATGGAACCAATTAAATAATGAGTAGCTTTTTATAATGTTAAAGTAAATTCAAAAAAAGTTGTTTTTGGTGGAATTTTCATCTGTGGTTGAACATTAGCATAGAATGATGAAGAATATGTAATGTTACTCTTGATTTTTTGCTCTCTGACTTTTAAAGTCCAAGAGTATATATCTTATAGTACTATGGGAGGAAAGAAGATCATTTTTCTACCTTACTTCATAATCTTACTTCAAACTATTTTGAATAGAGATTCACTGAGCCTTTGTTGTTAGTCTGCGCATAGCTGCTAGCTGTGATACTAAGTGATTCAGAGAGATTCATATAGAATTGAATGTAGCCAGGAATAAAGGCTGTCACTTTAGTCCTGGAAGAAGTATTCAGTGGATCTTGGGAACAAGTTAAGATACTTAAACTGTTGCCCTCATTCTGGCTACATGGAGGGTATTGTGATGCTCCTGCTTCCTGTACAGGTTTTGCGGATCATGGTGCAGATTAACAATAGGGTTCAAAATAGCTTCTCTTTATATTGGCCATTTAAGGGATTCTAAAGAAGAGTAAATCTCAACAGCACTCTAAAATCATCCCTCTTAAATTAAAATTTGTCTTGTGGCTTGCTGAGATATCAGTTGCCTTTTTATGTTAAGCTAAGGAATTTGAATGCCTTACCTAATCACTCAATTGGTAGTAAGCTCATTTTGTATATATGAAAATGGTTGTTAGAAGTGGCTTTCATATATGTTCAATGTTAGTCAATAGACCATAGTGGCCTCAATGCTTTTAACAAGCAAAATTCCACCCCCTTCTTTTATCCCCGCTTATATACTTGTAACCAATGATATTTGATTTTTTTTTCCTCTCCTGACCCCATGCTACCAACATTTTCTGGAAATCAAAGAGATGTGGTAGCAAATCATACTGTTGACATGATCATATGAGATCAATATGAGCACAAAACTCATCAACTAGGTCTGCCTGGAATGTGTATAATGCAGTGTAAATAAAAATTTGTAAATAAGTGTGAATTGTATCTTGCATATGAGATTGTGTATTGTTTTGCATTCTCTTCCCTTTTGTAGACTTTTTTTTTTTTTTCCTGTCAGGAAATGAATCTAGTTCATTGCTTTTAGACTGAAAATAGCCAACAGTTATGGCTGTACAGTGAGGTGACAGGAACTGGAAATAGGGTTTTATCAGCTTTGGTTAATGTCAGTAATTATTTATTTAGCCTCTCAGTGCCTAATAAGACTTTTCTCATTTTTCAGTTTGCCATCAATTTTTGTAAGGTTAGCTTCCTGGAAGCAGTGAATTTATGTACTGTTATAATATTAGAGTTTCATTCTTTGAGTCACAATTCTAAACTAAAGGAAACTGAAAATATAGTTTAATGCTTATATACTGATGTATTACCTTTTCCTGTTTGTGGAAATATTTTTGTTAATATTTTCTACAAAAAAAACCCTTTGAAGTTTAGTGTGAATCTTAATCCCATAAAGAGATGGCAAATAACTTCTCTTAGTTCAACTTAAAAATTTCTCAGGTGACTTCTAAAGTTGTTCATTGTAGGATTGTAAAAGACAGAAAAGACATAGGTGATCTTTTAATGACAAGTATATCCATTTTTTTTTACTAAAAATATTTAACTTCATAAGTATTTTAACTAAAACTTCCAGACTTAAAAAAAGTCCCCCCAAACACTCTCAATTAAAAGTTAAAAACCTCCACTTTTAAAATTATTCAGATATTTCTTTTTTACATTATACAGAAGACTTCAGTACCATTTTTTAGTTCATTACTTCATAATATAAATAAAAATACTGTCAATTTGTTTTTTTGCTTTAAATTATTTTGAAGCATTTTATACTGCATTCCAAAGTAGTAAAGACTTCAACATTTAATATTAATCACTTATTCAGTTGATAGACAAAGTAAACAGTGCTTTATGCTAGGAGAGTTTTGTTACTGGCATCAACTTGTACTACTGTACACAGAAGGCAAATACTAGTAATTATTATGCACAGAGGAAAAAGAATTAAAGTATTTGGTAAAGTAGCTTTGTTTTTTCTTTGGTCCATTAGATTTCAGAATGTCCTTTTACTGGGAAATTTAGTTACATATTAAGGCACTCTGTTTTATTTTCATTTCTTAAAAATAAAACCTAGCTAAATGTTATATTCAACTACCTTTTTTTTCTATTACATACCACATGTGTGATTACAGTGTTAATTTTTGGGTTTGATGTCTTAAACAGAAAAGTGTATCAATTATTTTAAATGAATATTTCCCCAATTTTGTACTCAGTCTATAAAAAAAATGTTACTATAAAAGAAAACACATGGTTCACATTGCTTTGATACGTGAAATCTGAAATTTAATAAGATGTATTACCTAATGAATTTTTTTTAACAGTTTTTAGACTGAAAATTTTTTATTTCCAGAACAAAATTTGATATGGGAAGAAAATCTGAACTATTTGGATGGGAAAAAAAAAATGATGGTGCTTATAAGC